AAAAAAAAAAAGAAGGGAAAAGGAGCTGAGTCCCAGGCTGATCACACCGCTCTGGAGTTAAAAAGAGCCAGGCGAATAAAACTGCTACTGCTCAGAAAAGAGAGCAAAGATGGAAGCCTTGATCTAGACTGACCTTGGGTGATGAAGGGGAGTGTCTATCAGGTACTAGAAAAGAGTTATTCAGGACTATGCATTCTAATCTCTTTTAAGGAGATTTTCTTCAAATTAACAAGAATGGTTTGACTTACAAGAGCTCTTTAAACATAGAGCAGAAAAAGAATCAGAGTATTTTTAAAATATTTACAACCAAAAAAACTGGTAGACACACAAACACACACACACAATGCTACTGGGGCTGTAAGACACAGTACAATAGGGACTATGTAGTTCTAGACAAAGAGATACAAAGCAAAATTATGTCCATAGAGAACCCAGACCGATACAGGAGACAAATGCGGGGGTTTTGTTTTTTTTCTCCCATGGAGGCCAGGATACAGTTTAAAAGCCAAAGCTTTTAAAGCCAGAGCTCTCTACCCTGGATTGACAGAATATAGCTCAGCCACAGCGCTTCATACTGCAAATCAGAATCCCTCCCGTTAAATTTAAGCCATCTGGCTAGACTTGGGTCAGAAGAGACGGTATTTTAAACATCACCCCTTAGAAGCTCTCTACCCTTTTCCCCGGGAGTAAGAATTTAGCCGCCTTCGCCTAACCTATATTGTTCCTCCGTTTCCACTTCGTTCTCGCTTCACCCGCCCCACCAAAAAAAACCTTTTCAAAGGGGGGTTTAAACCCCGAATCAACAAGGGGTTTTTTTTTCCCCCCCCCCCCCCCGCTCTTTCGGCGTCGACCCATCGTGACAAGAGGCGCCATTGCTGCAAAAGATCAAAAGACCTCGGAAAAAGTCCCAAACCGCTCGAGAAAAGGCCCGGACTCCCTTCGCCCCTTTTCCCTCAGCCCCATCCGAATTAAAAGGGCGAGCAGGCAGGCGGGCGGCCATTTCTGGTGGGGAGGGGGGGCTGTGGTGGAAGGGGAAGCAACTTCTTAAAAGAGCAAAGCCCCGGCTCCGAGGATACCCCGAGAGCTCTCTCCATCCCTCCCCCGCAGGCCCGGCCGGTACCTTGGGCGGCCTGATCTTGCAGATGCCCGTTTTCTCAGCCAAGGGTCGGATGCGGCCGATGAAGCTGAGGGGGTTGCTGAACTCTTCCCAGCTGGGCTCGAAGACCGGGCACTCGGGCGGAGGCACGAATTCCGCCACGTAGTGCGGCCCATCGAGGCCGCCGTCGTCGTCCCCCGACATGGCGTCGGCGCCGTCGTCCCTGCCGCCGCCGCCGCCTCAGGACCCGGACGAGAAGGAGCTCGGCTGGCGGGGAGGGGAGAAGGAGAAGGCGAAACCGCTTAAAGATGGACTAGCAGGCGGAGGGACATTCCGGTACCCAGCGAGGAGCAAAGGCGATCCTGGCCGACGAGCAGCGGAGTCCTTCGAAGGCGAGGCCGCAGCTCCCTCAAGGCCGGTCCGGGCTCCTCTCCCCCCGTTTGTTTTTGTTTTCTCCCCCGCCCGCAAGGATTTGCGCTGCTTTGCGTGTGTGTATATGTGTTTTTTTTTCTCCTTTTCCTTTTCCTCCCCTTCTTGAGGCTCAGCGGAAGTGACGCGTCTCAGTTAAATCCCCCTTTCTCGCGGAAGCGACTAAATCATATCCTTCCGCTGATTTTTTTTTTTTTTTAAAGTATGTAGTCCCGGCTCTGTTTTTGTTTGGTTTTTTTTTTTTCCTACTGCTGTCGGACTGAAGCGTTTCTCTCTCGCTCGGCGTTATCCGCTTTAGCGCTTCATCGGACGAAGTTGGAGGTTGGAGGGGCGAACGATACAAGAGAGCCGAGGGTTAGGGTTAGGGTTAGAGCCGAGTCACAGAGCGAGCGAGCTAGGGTGGGTGTGGGAGTAGTGGAGGGGGGGGTATGGAAGAGTATGTATGAGTGCGCGTAGGTCTTTCTTTTAGCGGAGTCGTTATACCACAAGAACTTCCGGTGTCGAAAGCTGGTTCTTCCCCCCCCCCCCCCCCCGGTCTCCGCTTTTCGGGCTCTGTGTGAATAGATTCTGCCCCGCCCCTTTCCGTGAAATCTTTGCCAGGCTGACCGTCGTGCGCTCCTCTCTCTTTCTCACAAGACTATCCTGTCAGTTAAGCTTCGCATTCCTCTCCCGTCCGGCCGACAAAGAGAAACTCGGACTCCGCCCACTTACAAGTCCCACGAGCCTCGCCAACCGAACCCTCCGTAGGCCCCGCCAACCCTGTCTCCACAGTAACCGTCTGCCCCTTCTCCCCCCCCCTCCGCCCACCCATAAAAAACACGGCCACCGCAGCGCCCTGGCCCCGCCACTCGGAGTCCCTCAACGTACTTCCTCGGGGGGATCGGCTGTTGTCGTGTCGCCGAGAGAAGAGGGCGGGGGGGGGGGTGTTTCGGGGTTGTTGGGGTGGTTTTTTTTGCAAAACTGTAATTAGCATTCCCTCAGCATCTTGGAACTCCATGCCATAAAACAACTTCCCGGCTGAAGAGAATATTTGTGCAAGATAATTGGTTAATTGTATCTTGGAATGGTTACCTTTGTTTTCCTCTCTTTTCCTGAAGAAAAAAAAAGGGGGGGGTGTCTGTGGCTCACCTGTTTTCTTTTGGTGGCTCAGAAAGTAAGGCCAAACCTGGACCTTGTAGCTGCTGTTCAGTTATAGGTACTGGAGCCATTATATTATGAACGACATTCATTATAAATGATAGTCCTTTATTTCACAATACAGTACAGGTTTGGTCAATATAGTTGTCTTGGTTTTGCTTTGGGGTTTTCCTTTGTAAACCCAAGTGAGAAAAAAAAAATCGTCTTATGAACTCCTTTCAAATTTGCCCTTTATTTTTTTTAATATATTTTTATGAACCCTTCAGATTTGTGCTTTATTTTTTTCCTCAGGAAAATATGGTTACTGTAGTGACAATACTATTTACCTGCATCTTAAATAGCAGGAAACCACACTAGCGTGAAATTGGTGCCCCAGTTAACTGATCTCTATCCTGCCTCTGTTCCAAGTCACTGCCAGTCACCTGACAGATCTTCATGGATGATTGTATACACCTCTTGGACATCTTCAACTATGTTGGAATAAGAGGAAAATGTTACTTGTAACCTTAAGACAACTGAGGATTAATTTTCACTATATTACTCATGGTAAGAGAACATTATGCAGACACAAGAGGAAAAATATGCCATTGACTTGCAAGTGAGGAAAAGATTTTGGTCAATACTTAGTTGGAAGACCACCAGGACTACAGGCTATACCAGGGAAGGAAAAAACAACAAGCAACAGCACACCATTTTGTATCAGTTATCCCAAAATCTGTATAGATGTGTTGGTGAAAGAGTTGAGCTTGAGTCAAAGGAGATTTCATTCATTTCTATCCTGGAAAGGATTCTTTGAGGGAGAAAAACTAAACTCTTATGTTGAGTGCCTTCAAATCTGAAAGGGGTACCATTGTTCCAAATAATGTAAAACACTTTTTAGATGCTTTCCTGAAGTAATCTCTAAATCCACGAAACAAAGCCTAAAATTTCCTGCCATTTCTATCAGCTTCAACAAAGATGAAATGGAAATATTGCAATGACTTTCATTTCTTAAGGAAAAATAAAGATTTTCAAGCAGCTGATTGTTCTATTTATTGTTATACTTTTTCTTACTAAGATCTGGGGCTAAGTTAATACCTAAATTGCCAGAAATCATGTTCTGGAAGCTGGTAGCACTTCCAGGAAGGGTTCATTCCATAATACTACAATTTTGCTTTGGACAATGAAATAAAAATATTTTCAACATACTGTGGCTATCAAAATGTATTTAAGGATTTATAAACCACCTTCCAACATTGCTTATAGAACAATTAGCAGAAAAATAGTAATATTACAATATCACCAAGTAGAAGTAATATCTATTACAAAATCTAAAATGCAGGTAATAAATATGGAATAATAAAATCCATGCTTAAACTTTTTCCAATAAATATAAAGAATTGTTCTGCTTTATAGGACAAGTAATGCTAACATAACTGCTAAAAATATTTAAAGTTAGAATTAACCTTGATTACTTAACCTGTTGCCAATTTGCCAAACCTGTTTAGGACACTAATTGGTTAATGTAAGTTGTGTAACCATCTTTGAACACAAGATTTCATATTAAGCACATGGCTGTGCAGTGGTTAATCTATTTTTAATCAAATGGGTTAAATTATACTAAATTTGTCAAACTCATGAACTGGTACATATTCTCAATTATGTTTTGTTGGAGTCCTGGCAATACATGAAATTATATAAATACGTCAATTCTAATCTTCAAGGGATTCCCATGTGAAAATAAACTATGATAACTAGTAATATTAAAATAGCACAATATATCTCATAATTTAGTATTTTAAAAGGTTTTAATCTGATCCTGCACCAGGAAGGATTTAGCTTCTGCATGTAAATTCAAAATTAAATTCTATCTTATTTAGTGCTCATAAATCACAGGATAAAATCCAATTTGAGAGCAGTTCATTGTTGCATATCTGTATCTCTAGATAATTGTGCCACACAAGCTTTTTGTTAGTGTAACAAAGCTATAAGGGTCTTTTTCTGGAAGTAAGTGATACACGAGTTATCTACTAAAAGAGGAATGGAAATACGAGGCAGCCTTAAGGAGACCTAGTGTTTTTGACTATGTAACTGCAGTAAAACCACCCGTGCTTTTCCATTCGGTTTAGGGCTTTCACCCCGTTGCCAAAATGATCCAAGGAAATTCACAGTTGTCTCGACTCTAATTGATTGCTCTTTAGCCTTCATGACCGCATCAGCAGGGGTGTGGTAGACTAGCCATGATGAGTAGAGAGTTGTGATTGGCCAAAATATCGGAGAGCGTCTATTTCTTCCTTCCTGATTGGAGGACTCTCGCAGCCTGTTGTTTGATTTTTGGTTTTTCCGTTGAGACCGGCAGCGGCGGCGGCGTGAAACGGCAGAGTTAGCGGCGCGTACAGGAGAAGTACAAGTTTGTGGTTCCGAATGGGACCGAGGAGGGTGTGTGTTACGGGTTTGCACGGCGTTCTGGTAGGATAAGGGGGGGATGGGGGGAATAGTGTAGCTTCTGGTTGCTTTCGTCCTTTTTTAACATTGAACCAGAAATATCCCATGCAAGAAGTTGGAAGACCCTGGACTCTCTCCACCAAGTAAACCGTGGCTTTACGTGCTTCGTTTTTTATCTCCAGTTCTTATTGAAGAAGCCTGCATTAGTATGACAGTTTTGATGTGGGGTTTGAGCTGGCGGAGTCTGGGAGTCGGTTTCCTTTTCAGCTGCGTAGTAACCTTCCCTCAATTGCCAAATTCACAAAATTATTGGGTGAAACTGCGAATTATCACTTCTCAAAAGCATTTTGCCAACAATGAGTCTTCTATTACTTCTTGGGCTTAAACTTCCTTTCCGCCCCCCCCCCCCTTGCTTATCTAGAATATAACTGCCTTTTTTAAAAACCAATAGCTACTATGGGCTTTGTTCATACCAGGCATTGATGAGCCATACTTTGGCATGTGACACAAGCCTTTTCCACACTATTAAGGTCTAGTAGTACGTGGTAAGAACCCAGAAAATTAGTTTCAGAAACCATGGTTCAATACAAGTTACAGTATTGCTTAAGCATGGCCATTTTTTTCTGAAAGCAAATCCTTTAACATTGTAAGCTGCCTGCTCTCCAATACTGTTACTAAAATCTTGCTAGTTTGAATGGAATAGAAGATGATTAGGCAGGTTATAGTTATGCATCCTTTGCTTTCCTGTATTTAGGCAAATTACACATGTATGTGTTCTGAAGGGTTAAGAAACTGCGTATTTGATAGGATTAAAATATAAAGTGGACTCATTGTGAAATGGTGAACTCTACAGGACTACAGGGAATAACTTAATCTGTGTCTTATGACCTATCCAGTTCAATATCTGTCCTTAATTTCAAAAGCATAAAAGATAGGGCTCAACTTTGCAAAGAACGTGTGTGTGCCCTTTATGCTGAAACAAACTATCTTATAGGTTCCTTTTTTAAGTATAAGAAACTAACATGCTGCAACCCTAACCCTTTTAACAATGCACTTGAAACCCAGAGATCTTGGAGGCATTCTTAGAAAATGCTTATAGTAGAAAGTAGGGTTTGCTTCGTACAAAGACTGATATACGAACATATAAAGCACTTTGCTGCAGTTATCCTCCATTTTATTTTCTAAGAATGTCTCCAAGATCTCTGGGTTTCAAGTGCATTGTTAAAGGGTTAGGGTTGCAGCATATTAGTTTCTTATACTTAAAAAAAGGAACCTTAAGAGAATGCAGCTAGTATAGGGTAAGACGCCTGGATAGGATAAGCACCAGGGAATGTGCTGGGGACACTTTTAACTTGTAAATGCTGTCTTGGGAGGCCCAGAGATAGAACAGTATATATGGTTATAAATATGGACTGTTGAGATATCTTTTTCTTTTAGTAAAATTTAATTTGTGTATCATTTGTGCACATCATTTGCCATTAAATTAGACAGTTAAATCATATGTTACAACATATGAAGTTTCTTGTCAGTATATATTTGGAATATATTATGTTCATTGAAAAGCTGATAACTGATTGTGCTTACATAAACGTTGTATTATGCTCTATTGATGAGGAATTGGCTTTAAGCACTAAGATATTTTTTATATATTACAAACTTGAAATTATTCATTTAAAAGCTGGGTTAATAAAACTGCCAGAAACCATTAAGTGGATTATGGGAAGGTGGTGGGAAGGTGTGTTGAATAATTGAGGTTCACTGGAAGATTAAGTAAGCTGAAAAGAGGAACTAAATTTAGTTGGAATACAAACAAAACTTTTCCATACAGTTTGAATAGTAAATATGAATTGAACTTCACTTGCATGAGTGAAGTTCTTAAATTATATTAAAGATTTCAGTGGATTGTTTAATGATGTTTTTTAATGATTGGAACATTTTCATAAAAGTTAAATGTTAATAGAGCTGCAATCATACAAACATTGTCATGTCCATATTGTTTCAATCATTGCTTAACTGCAAATAAACCACAATTGATTCTGTCCACAAAACCATAATCGTGCCTTTCAAACCACAATGCTTCATAGAGCATGCTGCATTATATGAACCAAAGAAATCACATAGCTGCATAGTATAAACCAAGCTATAGTTCTACAGCAGGTGTTACAAATAAACCTAAGATAACTTAAATGATCAGTTTTTAGAACTGTTACAGATCAGAGCTGAATTGGACTAATCTTACTTTCAACCTACAGTATTCAATGAGCTATTCCATTTTTATTGTGTTGGATTACACCTGCCATTTGTATAAGTCTTAAGTTCTTTATTATGGCATAGTGGGGCAGATTGGGAAAAAGGGTCTAAAAAATGTTTTTGTTTTCTGAACTTTTTGGATAAAGACCAAATGGTGTTTTATGGCTCAGTAATTCAATGTATTAAATGCATTGCAGATGGTCAGAATACGTGCCATGGCTTCTCCTCCAAGAACACCTTCCAAAAAGTAAGTCAAACAATTAGGTGCTGATTTCAAATGTCTTTGTTGTTTTCCTCTTCATCTCAAGTAAAAATCTTGCAAAGCATGATTCATAGACCTCCTAGCATCCCATTTTTAGTTTCCAAAGCAACATACTCAGGAATAGGCAAAGCTGAAGTTTTGGGCCTTTGTTGGAGTTTATGAATTTGTTGTTTTAGGTGTGATACCCTTTTCAAAGTCAGACCACTGTTTCTCTTTGGGTGCTTAAAACTGCATATAATATAATTAACATAATTATTAATATAATGAAAACAAAATACTTAATCACTATTATTATTGAAGAGATGTCATGGTGTATTGGTTGTTCCTATAGACCAGGGGTCTTCAAACTTGACAGCTTTCAGACTTGTGGACTTCAATTCCCAGAATTCCTCCTCCAGTCATATTAGCTCAGGAATTCTGGAAGTTGAAGTCCACAAGTCTTAAACTTGCCAAGTTTGAAGACCCTTGCTATAGATTAAGGCCAGAAAGATTCTCACCCCAGTATAGCTCTTGGACCAGTGTTAGTAAAACCTACAACAACTGCCTGGAGAAATGTTTTGAATACAGAGGTTTCTATTCTGTATATAAAAGTCAGCTGTGCCTGGTAGTAACCAGCAATGGACTCATAAGAGTAAACAGTTTGCATTCTTTCATTAAGGTGCATAGTTTACCTAAGTTCTACCTTTTTCAAAATTAAATGAACATAAATGCTCTCAAAGGTCTTTATTTAACTTTAGCTATGCTGGCTGAGAAATTCTGGGAGTTGAAGCCCACAAGTCATAAAGTTGCCAAGTTTGGGGACCTCTGGGTTTAACAGAACACACCTAATCTGAATTATGGGCAGGAATCCTGTCTCAGGGACCACTCCCAGCCTTATAATACCTTTCCGCTCAGTGTCCCACATGTATCTAAGATCACATGCAAGTATAGGGTAAAAAGCTTTTAGTAATGTTTTCTTTTGGTATGTAATAATGTTTTTCCGGTTCAAGCACTCCATGTGCTGCTTCCAGGGGTGCTATCCTTCCTTCCCCTCACCCAAATGATTCTACCCCTCTTCCTTCAATCAATGAACGTTTGGCCTACCTTCGTCCCTCTCGGGAGTTGTTGGAGTACTATCGAAAGAAGATTGCACAATTTGATGAAGAGCATGAAGAGCTGGTGAAACGGTTGGAGACATATAAAGCATCTTATGATGAACAGGTAAGAAAAAGGGAGTGGTAATCCACCAAGAGATGAGTGATCTGGAAAGCCGTGTAAGGAAGCTTCAAGACTTACTCCTTTGTCCTGTTCTGTAATTCAATCATGATAATTTTATGGCTTTGGATTCTCTGCCAAAGCTACATAGAAGGCGTGTTCACTGAAAAGTATTAAAGAGAAATATGAATTATTTGGAAACTGGTTCCATACTTTATATTTTTCTGAATCCTCATACGTTTAAAAAAAGCAACTTTTAAATCACTGATAGTGGAATAAATTTTTATCCACCTTAGTTTTTAAAAGAATATGACCTGAAGCATAATTCTCCTGCTTCCATCTTTCTTTTTCATTCAGAGTCTTAACAAGAGAATGCATTCTAGTCTGACCTAAATTAAACCAAAACTATATTTCACTTTTTTAAGATATATAATTTGGGGTGGTGGGGAGGTGGCTTTGGAAAGCAAGCAGGATGAAAAGAATGTTTTTCATTGCACAATTATGCATTTTCTCAATAGATGAACAGATGTGATATCAAAGAGGTTCAAAGTGCTCACTCTTACGCACTTTCCCCACACATGTGTATTGTGTTAGTAAATTCTAAGATACTGTGGTATATTAAGTAATAACTTTGTTGCTGTTCTATTCCCTATTTTATTACTCCCTATACTCACATTGGGAGAAAAAGAAAAGCAAGATAATTCTGTGAAGTGCAAGGAATTGTTGCTTTTCTTTAGGACACTGACTTTCCCAGGAAGAAAAGGAGGCACCCAGGAAATTGAGACGGCAGTTGAACAAGTTTCTCCATATAAGGAAGAAAGGAATATGAAGCAAGTTTTCATGGCCCTGACTCTTCCTGGCATATCCTGCTGGGAAGGGTATCCATGTGGTATATTTTAGTTGTAGACTACACACCTTAAGAATGGGAGACAGCAGTTGTGCTCCAAGGACCACAGCAGTTCTGTAGTCATATTCAAAGCACTTTTATCCTTTCTTGATTAATTTACTTATCTTTGATTCAGCTAAGCCAATACTATAGTGATTATTCTGGCTCACAATAGTTCTGCTAGGTCTTAAGTAGAGCTGTTCCCTAGTCTTAAAAGTGGTTTTATTGAAGAAGCTGAATGTAGATAAGAGAATAAACCAACCAATTTATAATTCAGTAATTTAATGCTATATGCTAAGAGAAAAGAAAGTGGAACTAAATAGGAAATATGACAAACCTTAGAAGCATAGAGGAAAGTAATTATTGTAATAGGACTAAGAGAGGGCTGGACAGTTTGCTCAATGGCTACTTAAACTTCCATTGATGTTTGAAGTCTAGAAGACCATTCCCAGCATATAGAAGAGATAGCATGAAGAAAACACTTGTTACAATTTGCAGAACTTAATTTTTTTTTTTCTATGCAGCACAAGCTACAATGGGAAATGCGTCAACGAGAAGAAGAAATTGCAGAACTGCAGAAGGCTTTGAGTGACATGCAGGTGTACCTTTTTCAAGAAAGAGAGCATGTGCTGCGCCTTTATTCTGAAAATGATCGACTGAAAATCAGGTTTAACAGATTTAACAGATAATCAGAGTTGGAAGGGACCTTGTAGGTCATCTAGTCCAACCCTCCGCCCAAGCGGGAGACCCTACACCATTTCTGACAAATGGCAGTCCAATCTCTTCTTGAAAGTCTCAAGTGATGGCGCTCCCACAACTTCTGAGGGCAAGCTGCTCCATTGGTTGATTGTTCTCACTGTCAGAAAGTTTCTCATTTCCAGGTTGAATCTCTCCTTGTTCAGTTTCCATCCATTATTCCTTGTCTGGCCTACAGGCGCTTTAGAAAATAGCTTGACCCCTTCCTCCCTGTGGCAGCCCTTCAAATATTGGAAGACCGCTATCATGTCTCCCCTGGTCCTTCTCTTTACTAGACTAGCCACGCCCAGTTCCTGCAACTGTTCGTTGTATGTTTTAGCCTCCGGTCCCCTAATCATCCTGATTGCTCTTCTCTGTACTTTTTCTAGAGTCTCAACTTTTTTATAATGTGGTGACCAAAATTGGATGCAGTACTCCAGGTGTGGTCTTACTAAGGCTTTATAGAGTGGTATTAATACTTCCCTTGATCTTGATTGTATCCTTCTTTTAATACAATTTAGGATTGCATTAGCTTTTTTGGCTGCACACTGCTGGCTCATATTTAGCTAAGACTCCAAGATCCCTATCACAGTTACTGCTATTGAGCCTGGTTTCACCCAGTCTATATGTGTACTTTTGGTTTTTCTTGCCTAAGTGTAGGACTTTACTTTTCTCTACATTGAATTTCATTTTGTTAGATATGGCCCAGTGTTCTAGTCTGTCAAGATCCATCTGGATCTTAAGCCTATCTTCTTGGGTGTTAGCTATTCCTGCCAGCTTAGTATCATCTGTGAATTTGATAAGTTCCCCTTCTATTCCCTCATCTAAGTCGTTAATGAAGATATTGAGTACTGGGCCTAAGATGGAACCTTGTGGTACCCCACTGCTTACTTCCCTCCATGTAGACTTGGATCCATTTAAGGACTACTCGTTGAGTATGGTTTGCCAGCCAGTTGTGAGTCCATCTAATGGTGGTGCTATCTATTTCACTTTTTTCTAGCTTACTAAGAAGTAGGTTGTGGTCTGCTTTGTCAAATGCCTTGCTGAAATCTAAATATATTATGTTCACAGTATTTTGCTGGTCTACTAATTTAGTCACTGTGTTGAAGAATGAAATAAAATTAGTTTGGCATGATCTGTTTTTAACAAACCCGTGCTGACTGCTAGTTATTGCTTTATTTGTTTCTAGATGTTGGCAGATCTGTTTTTATATTATCTTTTCCAGTATCTTCCCGGGTATTGATGTTAGGCTGATTGGTCTATAGTTTCCTGGGTCTGTATTTTTTTCCTTTTTTGAAGATGGGAACCACATCAGTTCTTTTCCAGTCCTCTGGTAGTTCCCCGATGCTTAACAACAAACATTTTGGACTCAATTGTGGTTGTAAGTTGAGGATTACCTATACAGTATATGTCAATGTAGGATGACAAATATACTATTTTCCTCTTAGCTAAAACATTGGATAGAAATGTGGAAAATAAATACATCCAATTGAGTAAGAGGTATCTGTTTTATTCAATTAATAGACTATTAATCAAAAATCTCCCCCCCCACCCCCAAAAAGGGGGCCAGGGAATCCATTTCATAAACATCCTTTCCAAGAAATTGTATCAGATTCTCAGAATTCTTTATTTATCAACTTTACACTGTTGCAAGTCAACCACAGAGAATTTCTTCCATTATTGTAGGATGCTACTTTTTGCAATCCCGTGATAGGAATTTTAAAATTACCATCTGGACTGATATGGGTCTCGGGAGCTATGCCGGAATATTTCTACTTACATGTATGTCTTAATACTAAAATAGAACTTCATCTTCCAAAGCATCATATAGGTATTTCCTCTGAAATAATTTAAGACTCTGATTTTAAGCAGCCTCTATTTTATAAAATGGTTTGCTAACATTGCCTCCTGGTGGCTAAAGATTCAAGTTCACATTCTTAGTAATAAGATGCTACTAGAATTTCTATTCTCTCTGAAATAGAAGGCACTTAAAGAAATAATATCTTCAGAGGAGAAATTACATTTCAAAGATAGTGTTTCCAACCATTAGTTTGCCACAAAGTTTTCATGCTTAAGTGGTTAGATTCTACAAGAAAGAGAACTTCTAGAGTATGTAAAATAAAAGGTTTGCTTTTCAGAGGTTTAGGTGAACCTTGAAGTCAACAAAAAGTGCATGATACATCAGCATTTAGGAACAGTAATAAATTGCATTATTTTCAATGTACAGGGAATTGGAGGACAGAAAGAAGATTCAACATCTTTTGGCTTTATTAGGAACAGATAATGGTGAAATTACCTATTTTCACCAAGAACCCCCAAATAAGGTAAGGACCATCAATTAACCTAGATATTATTACTGCATTTATTTTATTTTGTAAAACACATTACTTACATTACTGTTTACAGCTTATTAAAAAGATTTAAATAATTGTATAAAATATAGCTGCAACAAGGTATTTTTTTTTTAAAGGCAGAAAAATATATTCAGGGAACTGCAATATATTTTTGGAGTGAAAAGTACCATTTAGTTCTCAGAGAAAGAGCAAGATATAACTATAATCACACGCATAAATTTTCAGGCAAAAGCTAATGGAAGTCAATAAATTAAAGTTTTAATGAAATTGATGAATTTGTGCGTCATAGGCCTAAATCCAGTACTTTTCTAAGTGACAATTCTAGAAAGCCTTTTAAGGTTGGTCAATCTATAATTCAAGTCAAGTTGTTAAAAGTAACTAATTACATAGGTCAGCTTTCATAGGAATGGCTTTTAGTGATAGAGAAGGTTTAGCTACTTACAACATTACCTATACATGGTAAAGACGGCACCAGTCAGTTTTTTCGTGATTTGATTAGTGTGTTACAAGTACAACTAAATTCTAGTTTTGCCACAAGTATTCTTGATCTCTAATCTAGAGAGTATACTGTAAGCCAGTATAATAAAGTATGTAAGAAGCAAACCAGTTTGTTAAATATGATAGGAAACTGCAGATTGCTGACTGAAAGATTTGGGAAATGCAATGCAGCATTTTATTGGCAGAGAAGTGAGCAGAGGCCATATTTTTTCCTTCAATAGATCATTGAAAAATTAATTTGAAAAAGAAAGTTTATATTTTGTTGATCTAGAGAAAAGACATACTAAAAGTGAATAGGCATGGAGTGTTTTACATAAATATGAAGTTGGAGATTGGTTGGTGAAAGGTTTAAAAGTGGGTACATGAAGGAAATAAAGCACGCAAGAGAAAACAACGCATAGGTAATAGCTTGACATTAAACAGTGTAAAGCAAAGTTGTGCGATAGCCCCCTGGTGGTTTAATGTATTAATACATTAATAAAAATGTATGAGTGCTTATAGTGATTTTAGACTTTTACCAGTTGGAAACATGAACGTACTTATCTCTCCAGATTATACCTTCTTGTTAGTTGAGACCTAAAGGATTTGCGGTAAATGTTAGATTATTTAACACAACAACATCGATTGGAATATAAATTATAAAAGATCGGGGTAGTTGTGATTAATGGGGAAAGTTAACTAGAGCAAGTAGGTTAATTTGTGCATTTGGTAAAAGAGGTACGAAAATATATGCAGAATTATTACAGTAAAGCATAACATTAATAGTTGAAACTGAACTACAACATCATTGTTTCCTATATATTTTACTATTATAATTAATGTGTACATGAAATACTTCGATAGAATAAAAAATGAGCAATGTTTTGGTTATTATAGGTCACTATACCTCAAGAACCAACCAAGAGAAAAGATGCCCAAGAAAAATGTGGCAGATACACTTCAATAAGAGGTCAGTGGAAAAATAAAAATTACTTTTGAGTAAATATTAGAGATAACATTCAGATACTATAGGGTTTTATGGAAAAGATCTGAGACTATTGGACTTAAATATACAACCTTCTCCTTTGTGGTACCCAATGGTTGGTTGTGTTGCTACAACTCTCAAGATGGCGTCTGTAAATTTTGGAATTATACTTCAATTTTTCCTAAATTATTTGAGCTTTCCTCTCTCCCTAAAACTGGTTTTCTCCTTTCACTAGACAAGGCTAAGATTTGGAACAGCCATAGAGGGAGAAAAAATTCTCTCCCAGAGATTTTCCTGCTTAGTGCCCCATTGCACAGAATTGTGTGGGCTTCTTTTCCCAAAGAATCTCAAAACTAATTTCAATCAGAATAGAGCTGGAAGGGACCTTGGAGGATTTCTTGTCCAACCCCCCTGCTCAAGTAGGAGACCCCCATATCATTTCCAACACGTGGCTTGTCCAGTCTCTTCTTAAAAACCTCCAGTGATGAAGCACCTACAATTTCTGAATGCAAGCCATTCCATTGGTTAATTGTTTTGGTTAATTGAATGAATTAGTTATATTGATTCTTTAAAGAAAGCAAAGCCTAAAAGTTTTTCTCAGTTATTTCAGGAATCTCTCAGACAGGCAAAACACCAACAGGAGAAGTTCGAACTACCAGTCAAAAAGAAACTCTAAATAGCAGTTCTCTTGCTTTGCTATCTAAAGAACTATCACTACCTCTCTTTGTGCTAATCACTTTGATTTCAGCCAAGTGGATTACCCCTATATATTTTTGGGGTGCATCAATAAGAACTTTTGGTGTAAGCAATAAGTCCAGAAATACACAGGATGTTCAGCCCAGGTTTAGCAATAGCATGTAAAATTTGGATTAAAGAATTAGAGAGATAGATGGTATATTGGCCTAGAAACCAATATAAGTTCTAGATCTCCTTTAGGCAAGAAAAGCCAGCTGGGTGACTTTGAACTAGTCACTTAGCCCACCTCACAAAGTTGTTGTGGGGAAAGGTGGCAGGAGTATTAGGTACATCTGCCACTTTTGAGTTATATATTTAAAAGGTGGGATAAATATTCTTAGACACTACCTTAATAATTCTTAGGTCTTTGGTTAGGTTCTTCTCACCTTTCCTACTATGTTCTCTTAGTTATATCTTTTGATTTATCACCTGTTGTTTGTACATTGCGAGCTTATGCACCAGAGACAAATTCCTTGTGTGTCCAATCACATGTGGCCAATAAGGAATATTCCTATTCCTGCATTGGAGATAGTTATGACCCATTCTGTAACGGGTGTAGCTACTTCAGGCATTTTTTTTTCTTAGCAGGGTTCCCATAATTGCTGTTTACAAATCTGTTACAATCTCTTACATTCCTAAAGTTCTTGCAATTCTGCCCTCTTTCGGGCACTGTGTTGTTATTTCTCTGTTTTCAGGATGCCTCCTTCCACTGTAGGAAAAGAGAAATAGAAAAATGTGAAAATTATTTCTCTACAGCAGATGAAGATAATAGTTTTTATCATAGGGAAAAACTATCTTGGGTTTTTATTCTGATAGTGTTTTTTCTCTTTTATCCTGCAACTTTAAGAAAGAGGCTCTTTCCCCTATTTCAGGTATTTAATCATTTCTTTCGTAGTAAGGGCAAGGAGCAACCTATTTTTCAGTGTATAGAAAAAAAAATGTTCATAGTAAGTGCATGGTTCCATTCTGTTAACTATTGTGGCCTTAAAACATTGCCTCAAAGAAAACCTTTCAGATTAATAAAATGAATGGGATAACGTCTTGTCACTGATTTTCTTTGTAGGTTTTAAAAGCTCTGCCTTGAAAAATGAAGAGAATCTTGAAAGTGCAAATAGAAGATATCAAAGAGATAATCAAACACTCCTACTGCAGGTAATTGGTAATACTACATGAAAAACTGTAGAATCACCATGCTAGTCTGGATTTTAGTTCATCAAATTCAGGATCAGTTCCTCTAATAAGGAATTAAAGAACATGTATATTGTAATGGAACATGGTGACATTTCATGGTGATATGATGTTCCATCTCTCCTGTATTGGAGTCTTAACTGCGCCCCAGTTAAACAACTTAGTGAAGAGCATTTTCTTCTAGCCAAGTGTTGGTAATGGATGCCAATCTTCTCTCTAATCCACCATTTCTTTGTGTATAAGTTAGATCTATTATAGGCAGATCTGATGCTAAGAGCCTTAATCTGTTCTGTTTCAGGTGTGTCTCCCCTGAGAAAACTGGGAGAAAGAGAAAGTGGTAGAGACTACCAAAAGAGCATTAAGAAGGGACTGTTTTCTCAGGCATCTAGGTTGACTTATTGCTTTACTTCGAGCATGAACGAAAGATTGCAAAAGAGGTCACGCTAGAGACAGTGTTGTCAAGGAGAAAAACAGAACAAGCTGAAATTAGACTAGCCATTCACCACAATGGAACCATTAGCAACCATTCTTCCCACTCAAAAAAAGCATGCAGTGAACATGACAAAATATGAGTTGTGGGGGGGGGGGGGGGGGGATGGCACAAGAGTTGAATGTAGATCTGTTAATAGAATGTATATATTTAACTCAACCATTGCTGGGATGCTGTCTTGGTTTTGCAATTGGAAGTTTTAGGAGATCTTCCACCTTGAATGGCTCACTGGGGAAACTTCAGATCTGGTATCCATCAAGAGAACTCTTGACAAGTTAATTAGTCTCAAGAGTTCTGACTTTTTCATTTGACGGACGAAAGGAGCAAGAATTGATGACTCAGGAGTCATTTCTATACAGTTCTCTTCCTGGTGATATGTCACTGTTTCATCAAAATTTAGCTATGCAGATGTATGTTCCCATGCTCTTATACACTAATCGTCTATTCACCCAGGGTTCACCTTAACATCATTGTATTCCCTAATGTTACTGCTTGGTCACAATCATTGAAGGGGTTTTGAAAGGACTCCATTTCTCTTCTGGGTGGGGCTCCTAGTACATTGTAACCTAACAGGTTTGCAACCTTTATTACAAGAGTGAGTTGTCTGCTGTAAACTAAATTTCTCTCTTATTCTTGCTCAAAGTATTGTGGCTATGCAAATATTGAGACAGATGGTGCAGTTGGGAGAAAGGGGAGCAACTCTGGGAATATAGGGCCCAAAGAAAGAGAAAGTGATTAATGGTGAGGGACACTTTCAGTAATCATTTTATCTTTGACAATCAATGGTTAGAAAAACAACTGATGCTTTTCCTAAAATATATATACATATACATATACATACATAAATACATACATATACACATACATACATACATACATACATACATATATATATAAAATGCTCCCTCCTCAATGAACCTATGGGAGAACTAGAACTTTTCTTCTAGTCCACGGGTGTCAAACCCGCAGCATCACGTTGCTGTCATGTGACGTTTCATGACAGTTTTCCCCTTCATGGAGGTGGGATGGGCGTGCTTGCACCTGACACATCCAGCCCATGGGCCGCCAGCTTGACACCCCTGTTCTAGTCCAACACCTTAATCTATTACATCAAATTGCCTAAAACCTTCAAACAAGAGGCTGTTTTGCAAGGGAAAGCTTTTGCATTATAGCATATTCTTCAGATTTTTCTCTTTGTGGCTTCAGTTGGAGTCTTTTCAGGCTCAACTACAAGAACAGACTAGGTTGTCAAAGGAGCAGACTGAAGCATTGCTAGAAGATCGTCGCATCCGTATAGAAGAAGCTCAGGTGCAGCACCAGAGGGATGAGGAAAAAATAAAAGAAATTACTGAAAAGTAGGTGCAAATGACCAATTGAATTCACATACCAAAAGGATATGTTTGGGTGTTGTAAAATCATTTTATTCTGCCCTGGGCAAAAAGAAATAAATAACCTTTTACATCTGATCTTTCTGATTTGAACCTTTGCTACAGTATGTGTAGGATAGATTGTTTTGTAAGTGATTACTTCTAGATGTTATCATTTGGGAAAGAGTCCATCAGTGTAATTGAGCCTAGCTGTTACATGGATAATTAGCTCCAAATTCAATCACCAAAATGATATTGGTTCTGTGATAAATCTTTGTCTAGCAATCCTGGAGAGCTGCAAATCAGGATACTCTTAGATGATTAATCCAATTTGGGTTAGGATCTGGAGCCATGTAGACTCACATCCAGAATACACCTGGTAACAAAGCAGTCATGCAGCCATAAACTTAGGGCACACCGATATACTGCAGCTATTGCTTCCTGTTCCACATCCCGATTCACCCTCGTAGTGGAGTTAAAGTATAACTTGGCCAATAACTCGGTTACTAATTTATTGCAATCTGCCTCTCCGCAGATACCATAAAGCTCAAAATTTGCTATATGAGAGTACCAGAGATTTTCTGCAGGTGAAGTTTGATGCACGAGCGAATGAAAAATCCTGGATGGCAGAGAAGGACACTCTGCTGAGGAAGATGGACAAATGTAAATGTGCACACAAGCAGAGTGGGATCTATAGAGATGATAGTCCAGTCCATTATCACATCAATCAGAGTTATGACAGTTGTCAAAGCTGGCGGGTTGCTAGCCCAGTGAATCAGGACACTAGCCTGGATGAATGGAGAAGTAGTCCCCGTCAGCAGAGTTTCACCAAGAGATCACCTCCCAGTGGGAAGGTTGAAGTTTTCAAGAAAAGAAAACCAAAAGTTGTCAAATGCGTTTTTCGAACAGAGCAGAGCATTCACAAAGTATATGGAGCAGAGATTAAGGTAATGGCTACTGTGCTGTACCGGGCTGTTTCTGAAGATTAGATATAATACAGGTAATCCTCAACTTAAACAACAGTTTATTTAGCGATCGTTCAAAGTTACAACAGCCCTGAAAAAGGTGACTTACAACCGTTTTTCACACTTAAAACCATTGCAGCATGTCATGTGATCAAAATTCAGATGCTTGGCTACTAATTCATATTTATGACGGTTGCAGTGTCCCAGGTTCCCCTGGCAAGCAAAGTCGATTCAACATGGCAGATTCACTCCAACAGCCATGTTACTAACTTAACAATCACAATGATTCACTTAACAATTGTGGCAAGAGCGGTCGTAAAATGGGGCAAAACTCATTTAACAAATGTCTCATTTAGCAATGGAAATTTTGGTCTCAATTGTGGTCATAAATCGAGGACCACCTGTACCATACAAATTCAACACTATGATTCCATGGTGCATCGAAATGAACGTTTCTTGCCAGCCACTCTTTTTTTTTTTCTTATTTATTTATTGATGGGGCCATTTCTGCACTTAAGATGCTGAAATAAGAATTTTTTTTTTTTATCTCGCCTCCAGGGATTGAAAGATCAGTTGACCCAGGAGCAGAGATTAGCAAGCATGTATCGAGAACAGTGTGTTTCATTGGAAGAGGAGTTGGCTAAGAATCAGGAGGAAGGAAATTTAGGTCAACAAATGTTCAAGGTAAGTCGCTTTTGCTGCTCTTGAGGGCAACCTTGACTAATTATGATAGCTCCTTCCTCAATCTTGCAGTGAGAACTGCTCACAGATACCTGATTATTACACTGTGCTCTTCAACATTTTGCTTCGACATTTGTAGCAACGGTCAGAAAAGATGGGAAAGCGTCTACAGCTAATGACCCGGCGCTACGAGGCCCTGGAAAAAAGGCGTGCCATGGAGATGGAAGGATTTAAAAATGACATCAAACAATTCCAAAAGAAGCTACAGGATGTGGAGAAGCAACTTTTCAAGGTAGCAAAAGTTAAAATAACAATCAATTCCTCCAAAATAATGCACTGAGACCAAATTTCCAAAGTTAAAAAATAATTAGCAGAATCTACAGTATTTTCAGTTAAGTATAATTTCACCAAGAGCCAGGGTGACCAAAGAGACTGCATTAGGAAGAAGAAAGTTCTAGACCTCCCAGCATGGGGTGCTGTATCATCACTGTGCTGATAACCAGTTATAAATTTTACCCTGAGTCAACCAGGTAATGCCATTTGAGTTCTGACCCATTTTAAGTTGTGAGGAACTGGATCAGAAGAAACAAGCCATGACGCCACCATAACATGACACAGTGGGTCTGATTTTTTATGCCCCCTCCAATCTGATGCACCAATTATACCATTCCTGGACCAAGAGACCTTGCTCGTATGCTCTGGTTGGATTATGGCGACATTTTCTACATGGGGCTAAAATTGGAAGACCATCTAAAATTTGCAACTAACCAAAATACAGCAGCACATGCACTTTTCTGGGCACCTTTAGCTTATCTGTATTACGCAATTGCTGTGAGCTACACTGGACACCATTATTGTTTTGAGTACAACTCAGGGTGCTGATTATCACCTTTAAAGCTATGTATGGTGTAGCATCAGTATGTAGTATTTGTGGGACTGCTTCTCCCTGAGAATATCTACACTAGGTTAAATAGGATGGGCACATTCCCGTTCCCTTCCTTTAAATGTCATCTGATGAGACATAGGAAGTGTGCCATCTCTGTATCAACCCCTGCCCTATGCAACATCCTCTCTAGATCTCACAAGCCTTTACCTGTTAGCCTTCCAGAGGGCCTTAAAAAGCTGGTTCTTTCGCCTAAACATTGAGTTAGGGGGTGGCTGGACCCCATTAGTTGTTAAATGTTGATTTACAAACAAGTGTTTTGAGGGATTCTATGAACGATCTTATTTCTGGTTATGTTTTTACTGCTGTTTTTGTGAGCCATCCAAAATTATCGATGGGCAATCATATATGTCCTTCCAGTCAATTGGTCAATAAAATCTACTCAAAACTTTCTATGTTCCTTTGCTGAAATAAAACTGTTCTTTGAAATTGTTTTTCTTTCTAGGTGGTAAAGAATGTGGGACCCGACCAAGATCTTGCAATGCTACATGAAGTTCGCCGAGGGAATAAGAGAACCAAAAAGCTACAAGGAGAACTTAAAACCTTAAAATCAAAGATATATGGACTGGAAAATGACCTGCGAGATTATTGATAATGATATGTCAGTCAGAATGAGCAGTGTTGATAAAGACCTGTTGGTGCAACAAACCTTTTTTTTCTTTTTCTTTTTTTTTACAAATGTGTAACTTCACTGAGTGTAACATATACTTTACATTCCAGGGCAGAAGAAAACAATTGAAACTTGTGTGAGGCTTGAAAAGAAATTCCTTTTACTTGCTTGTTGTGTACCTAGATTTGATCTCTGTGGTGTTGAACCAGACCAGGGATATTTGGTGATTTCTTCTGCAGTGCTTAGAAGAGATGTGATCTATAATAGGGGTCTCCAACCTTGGCAACTTTAAGACTTGTGGACTTGAAGTCCACAAGTATTAAAGTTGCTAAGGTTGGAGAACTCTGATCTATAAGAACTTTTCACTAGCTAAGAATGATACGTTATGCAAGAATCCCAAGAAAACGGCTAGGTGGGCTGTGTACCTTAGTTTTTTCAGAAAAGAAAGGAATTTCTAAATGATTCTCCTGAACTGAGCAGTATATATAGGAAGGTTGATACCAAGAGAGAAGAGAGTATCTTGCAGTGAGCTATAAGCCATTATAATTCTATTTTTCAAATCAAAGCCAGTTCTTGGGAAAAGTGCTTTCCTGGGTTCTCTACAGATTTGTAGCCTAATTTAAGGAGAAGCATAGATCAAGAGGAAATCTATTCACAAATGACAGCTTCAGCCTCAAACACAGATCTCACCCAGGATAAAGTGTGTGTAGGGTTGCAGGGTGCACTAAAAGAAAAGTCGGATTCATTGAGTTGAAATTTGTATCTGAATAAAATGGCAAAGGATTTAGTTATAACACAGATGCTTTCTAGCAGTGGTCGTTCTTATGTTTTCATAATTTTTATTTTGCAGAAATCTTTCTGAACCCAGAAGAGAATTATGATGCATCTATTGTTTATACACTGCTGTAGAATAATAAAACTGACATTAAAGCATTATCTTGATTTTTTTTCTTGATCATTAACAATTACAGAGGTTTAATGTAAACTATTTAATAGCCTGCATTTAGGCTATTAATAGACAATTTAATATTAGTTAATTTCCACATTAAAAAAAGCTTTGGAACATTTTAAGATAATTGTATCTATTTTGTTAACTTTGTTGAAGGTACAACTACCTTCAACATGCCCAATTATGCTTTCTCTGTGCATACATTCTCTGTGCATACATATATATATAACATTAACTTCTAGAGTCATCCGAGTAAAAAATAGTCAGCCAAAGAATTTAAGGTACAAGGTAAAAAAATGAAATATAGCTAAATCTATTTCATACCAGCATTCATGCTATTTCTGTCCTTGTATCTTCCATACAAACCTCCCCTCTCCATTGTTGCCTTTTATTCTTAAGCTCATGTTATGTATTCTCTTCCAAACCCCTTTCCAGATGCAAGTTCAGAGGAAGAGGGTGAGTTTGAGTTGGCAGAGGAAAGCACGGAGCTGAATGTTGGTTAGGATCAGAGTTTGGAGAGTGTAGGCTAGGGGTGTCAAATTTGCATTGTCACATGATGTATTGCAACTTTTTTTCCCCTTTCATTAAACCAGGGATGGGCATGACCAGCGCAGTGGTGGGATTCAAATTTTTTTACTACTGGTTCTGTGGGCGTGGCAGGGAATACTGTAAAATCTCCAGTCAGAGGTGGTATTTGCCAGTTCTCCGAACTACTCAAAATTTCCGGTACCTGTTTTCCAGAACTTGTCAGAACCTGCTGAATACCACCTCTGGACCAGCACTTGATGTATCCTGCCTGCAGGCCACAAGTTTAGCCTGATGGAACAGCCTCAGCTGGGACAATGGAGGAACAATAGGCTGAGTCTGAGTGGGGCAAGCCAACCTGCAGCCAGTCAACTGGGCAGGATTGGGAGCAGCTGCTGCCCATTAGCAATGAGGAGGTGGAGTCCATACCTCCTGCTCCAAGGACACATACAGCAGAGGAGACGGGCACAACACCAATCAGATTACTCATGAGGAGGCAACTTTGCCTTTTTTGAAGAGCTTAATAGTATTTTTCCAAATGCTAGGTGTAGGTGCATATTTCTTGCCTACACTGAAATTGCAAGCCACTTTAAGAAACTAAATCCATATTTAATTTTGTATTGTTGATGCCTTCTTTGTATTCTTCACAATTCTTTGCTTTCTATACACATTGTATCATCCTCTTATATGTTTTTCTCTCAAAAGCTTTTTCCACTTATCATTTCACCTGGTATCCTTAATGGGAATTGACATATATTTTAATCTACATTCAATGATCACACTAAATGTATGGAAATGCTTTCATCTTGAGAGACTACATTAGGCATAGTTCTTGATGTATGATCACAGTTGGGAGTGGGGTTTCTGCCATTAGTCACATCAGTTGTAAACTGAATCATCACATAACGACCCAATTTCATGACCATTTTTACTGTGGTAAGTGAATCATACAGTCCTTAAGCAAATCCAGCTTCACCAGTTGAAGATGCTTGTTGGAAACTGGCTAGGAAAATTGCAAATTGTGATCACATAAACTGGTGGCCAGACAACCAAATGGCTATCCAATAACCATGCAATGACTGGATTATAAACAACTTTTTCTGATATTAGTCTCACTGAACTATCACTAAATAAATTGTCATACACTGAAGGGTACTTGTAGTATCTGAAAAATTATATGATTCCATCTTGCCTTGGAGTAGGGGGCTGCTTATGCCTTGATTCTTAAAATCTGCTTATTTCAGGAAGCTGCTGAATGTAGGGCCAATCTGCTTCTCTATGTAAAAATATCCCCAAAATCAGTACAGCTATCCTATTAATAATTTGGTTTTTTTAAAAAAATTCCAATCACAAACTCAGCGATTAGAGTATGCAGGAAGCTGACAAAGCAAAAATGCAATTAAACAACCTATATTTGTGTTTTGCCCTTGGAAAACTCCTAGATCAAATCTGATATGGATAAAGTTGAAAGCTTTGCTTACACTATAAATATAATTGTAGATTTATTACATATTTTGTCTGTACTGTCAATATAACTTCTGGATCATATTCTAAACAGGGGTCTGTTGATTTAACTATTACATGCAGCAGGTCTAACAGAACAGGTATATTTCCATTGTACCTTTGTACCTTACATCCTAAAAGTTCAGATTTTCCAACACTGTACTAAATTAAAATTGTCACCTTTCTTATTAAAATACCCTGTGTAATGCCACTTAATATAATTTGCAGCATAAGCTTTTGAGGGGGAAAGTATCCAGTCCAATTGACAAATTATAAGAATGGCAGAAAAAACGCAAATACTGAGATTAAAGCAACATTAGATTGAAAAATTTTGAAAATGAATATGGAAAGTCCAAATATACATATAAATGTTGCAATGACTTAGAGTACATCGGAATGTTTAGGATAGTTCCAGGATATTGGAAACAAACACAATATGCCTTACCATAAAATCAAAATAAGAATGTTTAATTATAGATAGTCCTCAACATATAACCATTTGTTTTGGAACCATTGAAAGTTATAATGGCACTGAAAAAAAGTGACTTATGACCAGTGGTGGGATTCAACCAGTGTTACTACCGGTTTGGTGACAATGTTTTGTACACGCATGCGCGCACATGTAAAAAAACCTTTAGCTGTGCCACCCAGACAGCTGAAAAGCACTGCGCGCAGGTGCGCAGCATTTGCAAAGCAGCTGAGGATGAAAAAGGAAATAAAGGTAACTGCCCAGGCCAGTAGGTGGGCCAAACAGCAGCAGTGGCAGTGCCCAGGGTCATGCAATCACCTTTTGCAACCTTCTGACAAGCAAAGTCAATAGGGTAGCCACTTAACAACCATGTTACTAATTTAACAACTGCAGTGATTTACTTAACAATGTGACCAGAAGGTAGTTCAAGTTCAAACCTATATTGTAAACAGAGCAAAACTCGCTTCACAATTGTCTTGCTTAGCAACATAAAATTTGGTCATTAAATCGAGGAATACCTGCATGTGCATCAAGTCACTGAGATGTGTCTCTTAATGACCACATACAGTGCATTCAGAAAGTATTCAGACCCTCTTCACTTTTGTCAATTTTGTTATGCTACAGCCTGATTGTACAGTTGATGACATGCATTTTTTTTTGCCTCATTGATCTACATTCAGTGCCCCATAATGACAAAGTGAAAACAGAATTTTAGAAATGTCTACAAATTTATTAAAAAGAAAGAAACTGAATTATCACATCGGCATATGTAATTCAGACCCTTTGCAACAACACATGAGCTTTAGCTCTGGTGCCTCCCGTTTCTTTTGATCATTGCTGACATGTTTCTACATCTCGAATGGAGACGATCTGTGGTAAATTAAATCAATTGAACATGATTTGGAAAGGCACACACCTCTCTACAGAAGGCGTCACAGCTGACAATATGTACTGTAGCAGAGCAAAAGCCATGAGGTCAAAGCTCTGAGCTCTGCAGAGCTGAGAGACAGAAATATTGCAAGGCGCAGATCTGGGGAAGCTACAGTACAATTTCTGCTGCACTGAAGGTTCCTAAGAGCACAGTGGCCTCCATAATTCTCAAATGGAAGAAGTTTGGTGCAACTACAACTCTTCCAAGAGCTCGTTGCCAGGTGAAACTGAGCAATTGGGGGAGAAGGGCCTTAGTAAGAGAAATGACCAAGAACCCAATGGTCACTCGGACTGAGCTCCAGAGATCTTGTGTGGAGATAGGACAGATGTTCTAGAAAGAAAACTATGACTGCAGCCCTCCACTGATCTGGGCTTTATGGCAGAGTGGGTAGATAGAAGCCTCTTCTCCTCCATGCAAACCCATGAAAGCCCGCTTAGAGTTTGTTCCTCACAGTCTGAGAGTCCTTCAGGTGCTTTTTTGCAAACTTCAAATGGGCTTTCAGGTGTTTTGCACTGAGGAGAGACTTCCATGTTCTACCCACTTTGCCATAAAGCCCAGATCGGTGGAGGGCTGGAAGATTGCCAAAAATGGTAGCTAACAAGCAGGGGTGGGATTCAATTTTTTTAACAACCAGTTCTGTGGGCATGGCTAGGTGGGCTGGCCATGTGACTGGGTGGGTATGGATTTTTCTTTTCTTTTTTTAGAAACCCCCCCCCCCATTTTGTGCCTTCTGGGCCTCAAGCAAGCCTCCTGCAGGTGGAGGCTTTTTTGCTCTGAGAAGGCTTATCTTGGGCCCAGGACGATAAAAAACGGAGCATGGGAGGGCGCACAGCACCCCCTTATGCTCCATTTTGGGGCCTCCGGGGCCTCAGGCAAGCCTC